ATGCATTCGCACAGGCCCTGAATCGGACCAGGTACCGAACAAGCCCAGTCCTGGACAGGGCCTGGACGTCCGGTAGGGACCCAGTCAGGCCGAATTTAGGCCAAGGACTGAACCAGTTTCGAAGCCTGCGATCTGGACCGTGGATCGAGTTTTTGATCTACACGGTCCAGAACGGAGGCCGTGGAGTCACTGGGTCCGGCCCAGCGCTACTTAAGCTGGGCCAGCGCCCAGTTCGGGACAGAAGGTACCAGGAGAAATCCAGCGTTACGCTGGTTCAGGACTTTGCCTGCTGCGCTAAGTGGAGACTACCTGCTGCGCAATTTTGAGACTGCGACTGCGCTGTTCATCGGCGATGTGGCACAACGCTGGAGGAGTCCAGCGCCGAGGAGATTAGCGGAGTTCAGAGAGAGAGAGAGAGAGAGAGAGAGATGGAAGAGGAGCTTACCTGTTGCGACCTACCACCGCCATAGTTGGGCTCTCCTGCAGTCCCCAGGTAAGTGGGAACAGAAAGCGCCTAACTTTCTTCTTCTTCTTCTTCTCCTCTCCTTCTTTTTTTCTTCTTCTTCTCCTCCTACTCCTCCGAAGTTCTTCTTCTTCTTCTTCTTCTTCTTCTTCTTCTTCTTCTTCTTCTTCTTTATCAGAGTAGAGATAGAGGGAACTGCAGACATTGTTTGGACACGACATTCTGCCTTATTGGACGCGACATTCAGATCGGACTTACACTCTACATTGGGATTGAACCGTGTACGACATTCGGAGATCAGACTTGGGTTGGACTTGGTTATCTCCTATGTCTCTCCCCTTTCTCTCCCGCATGTCTATGGATCTCTCCCCATGTGTGTGAGTGGAAGGGCAATCTTTCTGATGTCCTGCCCTTCCGAAGTTTCCCYYTTTCATGTTTGGCKGTCCTCGTGTCCTTTGGTTACTAAGACTTCCGCTGTGCTGTTTCCCAGCCCATGATGATGATACAAATGTGTTGTTGTTGATTTCTCGTTGGTTTACTCTTTGCATTGTGCACATTGGCATCTTGTGAATGTTGCACCTATGCTGCCGGTTGTTGCCACTTTCATCATTGCTAGATCTTAGGCTTTCGGTGCATTTCACTTCCTGATATGCTACACTATGGACAAGTCCAGTAGGCTCGTGCATCAGGTCTGGATACCGGTCCAAAACCTGCTGAATCGGTGAGGGACAAGGAGCAACATCCACACCAGTCTGTTTCACATATGCGACAAACAGACGTGTGTGGGCAGTCTGGCGAGAGAGCTGAAAGAACTCATGTGCCCTCATACAATAGCTACTACTGACTTGGCGGTACTCATCAGCCAGGACACAAGGGTGATAGTCCCCTCTACAGTCAGGGAGCTCTACCCTAGGGATCTGCCAATCGATCCTAGGGTTAGTGGCCTCAAGCCACTGCATGGAAAACACAAGATCAAAAGGCACGTTAGGGAACACATAGAAGTTCAGGCGCTGCCTGACCTTCTCTCCTGCTTGCCAAATATAACCGGTAGGTTTTTGACAACAAAGGTAATCCGGACTGTGGAAGAGGCCCCAATACGGACTTCTAGTGGCTGCTGCAACTTCACCAACCTCCCATCCAAGTGCAGCTTGCTGACAACTTTGGGAGAGATGAAGTTCCTCGTAGCCCCACAGTCTAGTAGGCCTTTGATCCTGGCTCCCAGGATGGAGGGTCGCAACAAGATGAGGTATGATTTGTGCTTCTTCTTTTCGTGCAAAGACAGGAAAAGATCATCAAAAGTCTGACTATCTGCTTCCTGCCACGTCTCATCCAGGTCAGGGTCCATGTAAGTAAAGGATCCTGATGTAGCAACTCCAACAGAGTCAGTAACGGTAGATGCAGATTCAGACTCGTCAGAATCTGAATCAGCACTAGTGGAGGGAGCTGCTAACTCCACTTCCCTCTGCTGGTCTAGTTTTTTGGACTAGAACCAGGTTTGCGAGGCATGTGGGGACAGTCCTTCAGGAAACGGTCCCCCTCGCAGCGAAAACAAACTTCACGGTCCTTCCTCCTCTGCCACTGCCCCTCCTGGATCCTGAACGCTCTCCAGGGAAGGGTGGAAGGATCCATGACGTTGACTGGCCAATGGACGTCTCGTGGTAGATTAGGTCTCTGAGCCTGAGGGGAAGTGGCACATCCCTTCCCTTTCCCCTTTTGACTGGCTGAACCCTTGCTGCTGCTGTCCTTATTGAACTTCCCCTGGAACATGGCAGCAAGGTTCTCAGCCAGGGCAAGAACGGCTGGCTCAATTGCTGATGCTGATGCAGTCCCAGATGGAGGACTGCCACGCTGCGATGCATCAGAATCAGAACCGGTGTCATCAGCCAACAAAGCACCCTTCTTCCTGCGCTGTCCCCTGGAAGAGGGTCTCCTCCTTCCTTCAAAAGGTTCCTGAACCTTGAGCCGAGACTCCAGGTCCAGGGCCGCTTTGCCAAAGGACCTGCAGTCCTTGTGGCCCTGAGAGTATAAAGCAATGGAGTAGTCTGGAGGCGCTGCGCAGAGGAAGTGAGTGAGCTGGTCAGACTCACTGATCTCTAGACCGGGTGTAGCAGTCAAGCTTTCAAACATACTGTAGAGCTTGGACAGGGAACCCTCAAATCTATGTGAGCCCAGCATCATTATCTTATGTGCTGCTTTTCGGGCCTGTTCCCTGTCTGCAAACCGATCTCGCAAGGCCTGCAGCAACCCCTCCACTTTCAGATGCTGTGCCCATTTGTCCATGGGCAGATTTTGTTTCGCTGTAGAGGATGTGCACCATTTCAGTGCAGTCCTCTCCAGGCGACCCAGAATAGTCCCTACCTTTGTCACCTCTGGACATACGAAGCTGCCTAGGAATGCCTGCATGGCGGTAACCCAATCTGAGACATCCACCTTGGGGTCTTCCCCATAATACATTGGAGGTGGTGTCAACTTGGGATGCCGCTGGACACATGGGAACCAGCAGGTGAAGATGGCCGACTGTGAGCTGGTGTAGAAGGCACTGGGGAAGGTTGAGGAGGTTTGGGAGAAAGGACAGGTAGCTGCAGGTGTTGCAGAATGCTGTTCACACTCGTCGTCAGGGACTCAAGGCTAGCTGCCAACTTGTCAACCTTGTGGTCAATGGCAGAACCTTGCGTCTCGAGGGCGAGTATCCTCTGGTCCCAGTTAGAAAATTGTT